TTTTTTTGTAGAGATGGGGTCTCACTGTGTTACCCAGGCTAGTCTCAAACTCCTGGACTCAAGAGATCCTCCCGCTTCAGCCTTCCAAAGTGCTGGAATTATAGGCGTGAGCCACTGCATCCAGCCGTAATATTAATTTTTAAAACAAAATACTTGAACTCAAAGAAAGATGTAAGCTGGTATGCCAATCTGGACTACCCTCTCAGGACAAATACATTCATTCTCTTCTGTTATTAGGGGTTCTTAGGTATGAAATTTTGAGAAGTGTTAATGCATATAAATTAAATAAAATGTATACTAAATAGAAATAATTACTCCTGACAGAGTAATCAGGAAATGCTACACACAGAGGAGATGGCATTTGAACTACACCTTAAAGGATAAGTAGGATTTCCATAGAAAGAAAGAACGGTTAGGGCTGAGAAAACAGCAAAATTAAGGACAGGAGCAAGATTTTTTTTAAAAAGGCACAGCATGTTTAAGAAATAAAGAGAAGTTCTTTATGAGTAAAGTACCTCCTGTGGGGAGCAAGATGGTCTCTGTGTGTGAGATTCCTGGTACTTCCAGACACAGGTGCTGAATGCCAGCCTTTTCCCTTGCTCTTGATGAAGTTGCCGTTAGATATTTAGGAAAAGTTTAGCATATCTGATGACATTTAAAGGGGGGTCTTAACTTCTTTAAAAACATGTGACTCAACATCTGTATACTGAGGGTACACAAGAAGAAGTTCGTGCTCAAGGGGTGCACTAGCTGGCAGGAGAGCCCACAGCTCCCGTCGTTCCCACAGCTCCCACTGCCGTTCCTGCCCACTGCTTCCGCCCTTTCTCTGGATGAGTGCTCCCAGGTGCTGCCAGCCCTTCCACTTGGGCACCGGAGCCCGTCCCCATCACCCACTCCAGGGCATCACTCCAAACTTGCTCTCTTTTCTTGCCTGAATTTTTTTTTTCAACTCTGTTGGCTCATTCATAGAAGCATAGAAACATTTTTCCCATCTTTAAAAACCTTCTCTTGGCTGAGTGCAGTGGCTCATAATCCCAGCACTTTGGGAGGCCAAGACAGGAGGATCGCTTGAGCCTGGGAGTTTGAGACGGACCTGAGCAACAAAGCAAGACCTCGTCTCTACAAAAAAAAAAAAGGAAATTAGCCAGACATGGTAGTGTATGCCTGTAGTCCCAGCTATTCAGGAACCTGAGGCAGGATTGCCTGAGCCCAGGAGATCCAGGCTGCAGTGAACTGTGATTGTGCTGCAGCATTCCAGCCTGGGTGACAGTACGACTCCAACGAAACAAAAACAAACCACAACAAAGAAAAAACCTTTTCTTGACTCCCTTTCTCGTTGCAGATTCCATTTAATGTCCTTGTTCTTTTTTTTTTTTAATTTGTAGACAAAGAAATTGCAGCACAATATATTTGCAAGTTATGGAAGAATGAGCACACAACCCTAAGCGGAAGGCAGTGCAGTTAAGGAAAGCTTCCGAGAGGAGCAGTAGTGTGAGAGCTGGGTTTTAAGAAGTGTCGTTCCATGAGACAAAGTGTGGGAGGGACAGGACAGCCTTCGAGGCAGAAGGGATAGTATGTGCAAGAGCAAAGAGACACAAAGCACAGCAGTGGGATTGCAAGGACAGGCGAGGAGAGTTCACAGTGTTTCCAGCTATTAACATGTTTGTCTTCTGCTCCCCCCTCGCCCACGCTCATGCTCCAGCACCTCCAGCTACGGGTTTGACTGAACTTAGAACCGTATCACGCTATCAAAGCAACTATCTAAAAACTGAAGTGGTTTTTCTCCTTATTTCCTAAAAGGCTTTTTCTATTTTTTTGCTCTCCATAGATTCTTTTTATTTTTTTCACTGTTCAGATTCTAAGTTCTCTTCATGTCTTTGGTACAAGAAACTCATATGTAATTATCTGTGAAGATAGTGAAAAAAGAGGAAGATATACCTTTAATTTAAATATATATATTATATGTATATGTATGTACACACACACACCCCCCCCCATACACATAGAGTAGATCTTTGTTCAGAAACACAGTTGTTTAGCTGAATTATTTCGGTAATTGATATTTTTAATCTTATAGCTGTTGGTCTCTAGTCCCTTACCATAGATTTAAAAGTAAGGAAACCTGCTTTTCAGTGAGTGACTCAAGACTTTTTGAGGTTGACTTTTTAAAATCAGAATCGGGGTCCTGCTTTCTCCACCCACCTTCCTCCTATCCACAGAGTTGGAAGTGTCCTTGATGACAGCACAAACTGAAAAAAGCAATAGCATTAACCACTCAGTTAGTTCCTGGTATTGTCTCTGTTGATACCGCGTCTCATTGAGTTGTGATTGTGTGTCTGTCTCTGACTGAAAGCCCCCTAAGGTAGGAATCATAACAGGTATTCATTCATACACCTATTAAAAGTATAGTTCATAATGACTGCCTTTATGTTGGATTGAATTGAATTAGACTATAGCACCAAGGGAGAGGGGGATTTTGAGTTTACTTTTTAAGTGAAATTGATTTAAAACAAATCTAGAAAGAAAAATTATGTGTTTGTTTTGTTTTTAAACATAGTCTAAATTTTGGGTACAGCTACCAATATGTTCATTGCCCATAATTTTCAAGCATTCTGAGCAATGACTCATCCGAGTCCCCAAATAGGTATATTTCTAAAAGTCACAGTGGCCCTCGGAGACAAAATTAGGCTTGGGAAATATAAATGGTAAGTGTTTTCTCATTGCAGTTAGGAATGTGGGGTCTTGCTGATATACAGAGGAGGATCTACAAGTTATTTTTTTCCTTTGTGGCAGAAAGGAAGAAACGAAGCAAAGATCCATCCCCTGATAAGTTCCTACAGGCTTCCCACACATTGTTTCATTCCTAGTAGAAGTCACTAAGACTTGTTGTGTTATCTTCTTAAAAAGCAAGGCTACCTAATTTCCTAGCACTTGTTTTCTGACCTCCAAAGGTCTCCAGTTCAACTGGCCAAAAAGCCAGGCCAGACAGAGGCGTCTGTATTTCAGCAGAGGAACAAATGGACTTGGCTTTGACTCCTTTCCCTCTCGCTGCACAGTTTTGTTTCTTTTGCAAAGAAGTTTGGAATTTAAATCCTCCAGGTTCAGGATCTTTCCATCTAAAACTGGAAAACAATGTACCTCGTCATGTTCCCAACTGTCTCTCTATTAAAGACCTGTCTCTTCTGAGAGTCAGTCCTGAGCATCCGAATAACCCCGTGTTAGAGAGAAGGCTGTCTTGCCAAAGGTTGGCTATTTGATTAATTTGTCTATTCAGCATACTTTTATTGGGTACCCCACCCTAGGGAACTCACATTCTAGTTTGGCAACAATAATATATACAGCACACAGTTAATAATACCACGCTGAAATAGCAGTGAGACAAAAACGATAATAGTGATGGGAGTGATTAGTTCAGCATAGAAGGAACTGAGAGGGCTTTGCAGGAAAGGTGACTTTTAATCCTTAGCCATCAAGAATGAGACATCATGAGACAGAGAAGGGGTAGCCTTACTTTTCAGACACAGGATATAGGATGAGTAACCACATGATGGTGTGAAAGCTCAGGATGTGTTTAGAGAACCGTGAACTATTGGGCATGGCTGCCACATAGGCTGCACCGGGAGAGGCAGGTCCCGACAAGTGTTAGGCAGACTGCACAATGCTGAACCTTGGAACCTGGGTTCAAATCCCAGCTGAATTGCCTTCTGTGACCTTGGCAAGTCACTTAACCTCCCTGTGGCATGGTTTCATCTTTTTTTTTATTTTTATTTTTTGAGTTGGAGTCACAGCCACTGCAGCCTCTATCTGCTGGGCTCAGATGATCCTTCCACCTCAGCCTTCCAGTAGCTGGAACTACAGGCACGCGCCACCATGCCTGGCTAATTTTTTTATTTATTGTAGAGATGAGGTCTCACCAAGTTGCCCAGGCTGGTCTCGAACTCATGAGCTCAGGCAATCCTCTTACCTCAGCCTCCCAGAGTGCTGGGATTATAGACGTGAACCACACCTGGCCAGTTTCATCATTTAAAAAATAAAGATAATAGTAGCATCTATCTGTATATATCTATATATACATATACACATATGGTTTTAGACAGTTCTCAGAACAAAATAAATACAAGTATTAATTATTATTAGGCCACATTTTGAAGGGCCTTAAACTTTAATATGCACATTTTTCTGTAAGTAAAAGAAAGGTTTTAAAGCAGAAGAGGGGAGAGAGTATGCAACAGAATCTAATCTGTACTTAGAAAAGTAATTCTGGTGCTACTTTGGAGAGTTGATTGGATAAGGAAGAGACTAGACACACAATGCAAGTTCTGGACCATTTCAAGAGCATAGATAAGGGGTACTGATATAACATGGTCCTGAGTTAATATGGTGGCCTTGCCCTTAAAGATTCTGGGTTCCTAAACAGAAATTTCAAACTTGATGTCATAGTCTTAATAGGTCTTACTAGTTTAATTCTAAAAACCTGCAGCAGCCAGGCACAGTGGTTCAAGCCTATAATCCCAGCACTTTGGGAGGCCGAGGCGAGAGAATTGCCTGAGCCTGAGAGTTCGAGACCAGCCTGGGTAACTTGGCGAGACCTCATCTCTACAATAAATGAAAAAATTAGCTGGGTGTGGTATCGCACTCCTGTAGTTCCAGCTACTTGGAAGGCTGAGGTGGAAGGATCGCCTGAGCCCCGCAGGTGGAGGTTACGGTGGCCAGGAGCGGCCACTGCACTCCAGTCTGGGCCATGGAATGAGACTCCAACTCAAAATAAATAAATAAATAAAACCCCACAGTGAGGACCCTGGGGAAGAGGACGCATGGCTCTCCTAATCTAAACATTTTAGTGTTCAGCTGATGCTGCTGTTCTACACGTCACATCAGACCAGCGCTTTGTGCATACTCATCCTGGTATCTTTCCATCTGGTTAGATGTCAGGAGCAAGATATTCTATCTGGGGAGATGATTCTGTTTTTCCTTTAAGTAACCTCAAATCTACTTGTCAGTTTCCTAGAGGAAGTTCTGGCTTCTGGACTGCACAGCCGAAGCAAGGAAAGCTCTCAGGCCACATCAAGGTCAGCAAGCCGAAGATGAAGCGGTGACGGAGACAGGGAGGATGGCACAGCTTTCCCCACTAAGCGGTGGCGGAGAGGGACTTTGGGTCTGTGCTTGTTGTCATAACTCATCTCCAGGTGGCCCGCTGATTCCTGAACTGCTGGCACAGACACCAAGATGTCCACTGATGCACTAAAAATAAGTTTGAGCCCACCCCAACCCACTTTTCTTGTGGTTTCTGTATTGAATAAGCAGATGTATTCTGTGTGTATTTGATAGCACAATCAGTTTTCAGTTTCTCATGAGTATTGTTGGGATCTTATCTGGGGAACTGTTTATCAGAGCCTTGAGGGGTTTTCAAAGTGACCATATGATGCACAGGCCATGTATCAACACTCCTGATTTCCTTTCTCTTCCCTCGACCTTTTTACTTTTCATTAACTACATTCCTGGACTCTCACTTAAGAGTTTCATTTCTGAAACATACCATGTTTCCTTAGAGAGCCATCCAAACGTTGTTCCTACACTGCGATTTTCTGTGGCACTGAGAAACCATGTATGACTACAATAAAAATCCATTTTGTGAGAAGGGATGAGTGACTTGGTTTTATTTCTTTGGGGTTGATTTATGGGAATTCATGAGGTGGTGCATAGCTAGCTTTACACCAAACCTAATGAAGGTATTGCCTCTTTCCAAAGCATAAAGTATGTCAAGGCAAATAAATCCTGGCATCAAGTTCACCTCTCTTGAAAGCAGTAAAAAGTAATGGCATTGGCCCCACATATTTAAATTTAAAAATTTTTTAAAAGAAAGTAATGTTATCATTCATGCCAGGAAATTAAGGCATCCTCAAATCATCATAGCAAAAATACCACAGCACAATCCCTCCCTGGTTCTCTGTAGTTTTTTTTTAACCTACCTTAGATGTTGATAAATATTCTCTAGTGTCAGCCTAGAGTCAAATCTATGTCCCATTTGTGTGGCTTTGAGAATATTATTTCGTCTCTTTTGGCTCACATTTCTCATTCATAAAATAGTCCCTTCCACTGGGGCCCAGTACTTGGGAGGATTGCCTGAGTCCAGGAGTTCAAGACTAGCCAGAGAAACACAGTGAGACCCCATCTCGACAAAAAAAAAAAAAAAAGCAAAAAATTAGCGGGGAGTGGTGGCATGTGGCTATAGTCCCAGCTATCAGGAGGCTGAGGCAGAAGGATTACTGAGCCCAGGAGGTTGAGGCTACAGTGAACCTTGATTGTGCCACTGAACCCTAGCCTGGGCAAACAGAGTGAGACTCCAACTCTAAATAAATAAATAAATAAATAGTACCTTCCCCATAGGATTTTAATAATTAGATGAGATGAAATAATACATGTAAAGTGCTACAACATTGTCTGGTGCATCAATACAATTTGACTGATAAGAGTAAATAATACTGATTCCTGTCTCCAAGTTGGGAATACAGAATTACTATATAAAATGGTAGGAATCCTGTCAGTCCTGCCACTGCACTAATCAGCGGTTCAAGAGATAAAGGGAAAAATTGAAAGGGCATCCTTTGCATCTCCCTTTCCTCCATGCTTCCCAGCTCTCAGCTGTTGTTTCTTTACACACACTCATGAGGAGCCCTAAGGCTCTACGTCAGGGTGTCCAACCTTTTGGCTTCCCTGGGCTGCAAGTAAAGAGTTACTGTCTTGGGCCACACATAAATTATATAATATCATTAGTATATATATACATAATAAGACTTCTTTTTATATTATTATAAAGTTCAGAAAAATATGAACAATATAAAACAAGTGGGATGTTTGACCTTATTTTTATAGAACTAATCTGTCAATGTCTGGTTCTATGGAAGTGGTTGCAATTCTTAGTGCGTTCTCAAAGTGCTCGTTAGAAATGTTTGTTCGAATTTTGCTCTTCGTGTGCTTCCTAACTGAAACAGCTGCTCACAAATGTATGCACTGCCAAAAAGCAATGTCATGAATAAGGAAGGATTGTGAATGTCAAAAACGGAACTGCCTATAGGGTCATGAAGAAAATAAATGCTAAAAAACAAATGATGTTAAAAGAGTTTGTGAGGCCGCATGTAGCCCATGACCACGGGTTGGACATACCTGATCTATAGTATAGTGGAGATCCAAGTTGTTTTCTTTATTTCATTTGCGTTTTGTGGGTCCCTCCAGGTACATTTTTTTTCTCATTCTTCGTTTATTTTTATTTTGTTTTTTTGAATCAGAGTCTCACTCTGTCACCAAGGCTGGAATGCAGTGGCACACTCACGGCCACCCCAGCATTGGCCTGCTGGGCTCCAGCCGTCTTTCAGCCTCAGCCTTTCAAGTAGCCGGAACTACAGATGCATGCTACCATGCCTGGCTAATTTTTTTTTTTTGGGAATATATTGTAGATCTCACCAAGTTGCCCAGGCTGGACTCGAACCTCTGGACTCAGGCAATTCTCTCACCTCAGCCTCCCAAAGTGCTGGGATTACAGGTTTGAGCCACTATGCCTGGCCTAATTCTTCATTTTTTATAAGTCTTTGAGATAGCCTGCGCTTGGGGAGGCAGTATTTTAAATGCAGCATCTCATAAGTTATAAGTCTTTTCAAACAAACAGAAATTTCCCTCCTCCAAGCAGATATACCTTGGATTCCTTTCTTATAGGCCAGATAACTCTGTGGAATAAAAAGAGTAAGAACAGAGACCTTTTTTATATTCTCCTCATTGTCCACCTACTTGAATTGTGCCTACTCAACTAACAAGATCAGGCCAGGCGTGGTGCTCATGCCTGTTATACCAGACTTTGGGAGGCCAAGGTGGGAGGACTGCTTGAGCCCAGGAGTTCAAGACCAGCCTAGCCTGGGCAACATAGCAAGACCTCGTCGCTACAAAAAAAAAAAAAAATCAAAGAATTAGCCAAGCATGCTGGCATGCACCTGTAGTCTCAGCTACTCGGGAGACTGAGGTGGATCACCTAACCCCAGGAAGTTAAGGCTTCAGTGATCGTGCCACTGCACTCCAGCCTGAGCAACAGAGTGAGACCCCCAACCCCCCCCAAAAAAAATCAACTAACAAGATCAGGAAGTCTAAGAAATGAGCCTTACCCTCAGGTGCTTGATGCCAGAAGTTGGCATTTCTTTATTAAGAGTCAAAGACTCATTATAATTGTAAGATGTACACAGCTGATTCCATTATTACTAGCCCTTTTTCCCCCCTTTTAAAAACATCATTTTAATTAAACTCTTGTATGTTTTTAATAATCCTCTCCCCCACAGGTTGAAATGCCCTAATCAAAACCTCTATGTCCCATTTACAACAAGCCAAGGATATTTGTTTTTAACAACTGTTTTGTTTTGGGGTTTTTGTTTGGTTTTTTTTTTTTTTGAGTCAGGGTCTCAATCCACCACCCAGGCTGGAGTACATTGGCACACTCACGGCTGCTGGGCTCAGGCAATCCTTCCAGTCCAGGCTTCCAAGTAACTGGAACTACAGGAATGCACCACCACACCCGGCTAATTTTTTGATTTGTAGAGACAAGGTCTCACCATGTTGCCCCGACTGGTCTCAAGCCCGTGGGCTCAGGCAGTCCTCTAGCCTCAGCTTTCCAAAGTGCTGGGATTACAAACATGAGCCACTGCGCCTGGCGACAACTGTTTGGATAACAGATTCCACCCAGTAAACTTGCAAGCAGACAGTCACAAGTTTTTGTCTCTAATAGCGCCTTCTTTCTCCCTTAAGTGGAGTTACTTATAAAATATTCAGTTAAAGAATAAAGCTACTGGCGTGGTGCCTTATCCACATAATCTGAGAGGTAATCCCATCATGAGATTCTCCCAGTATCGTATCTCCAGCAAAGAGAGAAATTGGCCTGAGAGTTATTTTTGCGGTCTTTGTATGTGGTGGTGTCAATATCACTAGGGAAACACTATGAAAATGGATCGAGGAACCATAGGGTCTTACTCAGATTTCTCAAGGAAGCATTGGTCCTTGGTAAACAGTCCCACATATATCCCAGTCCAGGAGCCGTGAGGTTCCCCTGGTTAAAGAGAAATCAGCTTAAAGAACAAGCCAGGGGAAGTGGAAAGAGGACAAAGGATGAGAGGAAGTAGGAGCAGGACCACAGGATAGAGCAGTGCAGAGAGAGAGACAGAAAACGGCAGAGATTTATGTAACATCTTAAGGAGCAGACTCACAGGGAATGCTCTGCAGCCCACATGCATCTGCTCTGGAATCTGAAAATGACTTTGGAGGGTTTTGATTTCTTATCAGCCCCTCTGCCTGATGTTTCACAAAGCTCCAGACCTACCTGACCCAGCACACACAGGAGCCCGGTAGGTACCTGGCATATAGGAGACGCTCAAATACTTGTTGACTAATAAAAATTCCTGAGTGGGGCAAGTGATTGTTTACTTTTTCCCCATAAGCCAGAATCTATTAAAACTACAAATCAAACCAATCCTGTCTGCCTGACCAGATAGGATCGGGTCATCCCCTCAAAAGGTTGTGCAGGCTAGCTGCCTCACCAGGACATGGGGACATTTTGCTTCCTCACATATGAAGATGTCCTGGGTTCTTTTTTCATCACTTTTTAAACAGGAGGGGTGAGGAAAATGCAATGGTTTGGGAAATGTGGGGTGTGTGTGTGTGTGTGTGTGTGTGTGTGTGTGTGTGTGTGTGTGTGTTTGTGTGTACAAAGCCTAAACAGGAGACAGAAGACTAGAGTCAGCCTGGGTTCCAATTCCTTTAGCCAGTAACTTGTATAAACTTGGGCAAGTCTGCTAATTTGCAGGGCCCTGCTTCCTCACTTTCCAAATAGAAATATTAATACTTATTCTATGTATCTCACAAGGTGGCACTAAAGATATAAATGGCATTTAAGAGCATTTTGAAAGGATGAAGTTCTGTATCAGTCTAAAAGAGTGGAATTAATTGGTATGGACAATGGAAAGATATTGAGAGGAACATTCACGGATTAGGAGGAAAGGAGAGCTGGAACGGAATGGGAACCCTTCCTTCATGTGACAGATAAACACCCCCACCCCTCAAACCACACATTTAGCCAACACTTTCTTTAATCTTGAGACATCTCTGGGAAAAGGGTTTTTCTTGTTTCCTGCTCCTTTGTGTCGGGGTTTTTTTATTCATTTTGTGGTTCCTGCATGCCTATCATACGCCAGGCAATGTGTTTCTTAGCTTATTATTTCAAGATTAGCCTTGGAGGACAGCATATATCTTCAAAGGACTTTCCCACGTATCTCACGTATTCCCCAACGTTCCCTGTTGATGAAAATGGCAGTTCACTTTTTTTTTTTAGAAGGTAGGATTTATTAAGAAGACACAAGAGCTCCCACAGCGGGAGGGGACCTGAAAGAGGTTGCCCAGTTCACCATTGAGTAAGTGGAGGAATTCAGTGGCTTGACCAAAGGCCAGAGTGGTGATGCAACCAGCACCCAAACTTGGGTTTCCCGACCACCCCTCTTTGAAAGACATGAAGTTCCCGAGGTGTGTCCTGCAGGCTCCTAGGCAGACCTGGTGGGGGGGGGGATCCGCAGGGGCGCCCCCAATCAGGGCTCCTCTGAGTGTGAGCCTTTCCCTC